TTCCTAAGACGACAGGGTTCTCATATTTAAAAGCTTTCTTAGTAGTTCTGTATCGCAAAAAGACTTTTATAGAAACAGCTCGTGCATAAATTTCTCTTAAGTATTTACTTAATCTTTGAATTGTAATATACCTGTAAGTAAGCGGCTTATAATCTTAAATTAGCAACTGCCTGCTATAACTTTACAAGTAACGAGATTAACTTTTACTTCAATACTTCGCTAAAAAGCTGTTTTCAAACTAATTAAGTTACCCTTTTCAGATAAGATAATAACTTATTTACATATGAAAGTAGAGCAGCATTTATTATTGCTTACAAACTTTCTGGAACAAAATTAATATTTAACTAGCTGTTGCTCGCGACTTCGCCCGCGTGAAATTAAAAAAAATAATACAAAATGTAGCCTATGTTACTCAAAGATAAATTTCCTTTCTAATGGTGAAAGAATTAAAAACGGTCCAGTAGTTTTTGAGTTATTTCAATGCATACAAAAATACAAATCTTTTCTCTTTATAATAGATTATAATACAGGGAGCCCCTAAAAGAGGGTAAAAAATAATAACTAACCGGCCAGCAACATATATTTTTATTCTTAAACGTAACCTTTTTACCTAACCTCTTGTATCAAACCTCCTTTGTTGATTCAATTCGACTTCAGTATTACACTGAATACTTCTTGACTAACTTCTGAGTTCTTCTTAAGCCTCTTAATGCTGTTGACTCTCTTTCTAAAGTGAAAGCCAACTTATTTACTTAACATAATCGCTTCTGAAACTACGCGCTAATGTAGACCTTTTATCTCAGACATTGCAGTTCACGTCAATGTATTGAAACGTGATGTTTAATTGCCCGGTGTGTAAAGGAAACTGTTGCTGATACAATAATAAGATAAGGGCGCGGTGTACACTAATCTAGTTAATTTTAATCTGAAACCATTCACTCCTAAGCCGTTTCGTTGTAATGGAAACACGGCGACCACGTCTCCTGTTTATTGTTTTCGTAATACAACTATACACTGCAACTTGAATACAATGTAGAGTAAATTATCTATATCTATACTAACATTATGAAAAGGAAATATTTGTATTTTTGGATTTTTGTATGTATCGAAATAACTCAAAACTACTTAGCCGATTTCAAAAAATCTTTTACCATTAAAACGTTACGTTATCAGTGAGTAACATGGGGTACGTTTTTAATACTATTTTTAATTTACACGGGCGAAGTCGCGGGCAAAAGCTAGTATACAATCAGTTATAACAACGTGTATAAACATAGATATTCTACAATCTAGATGTTAGAGAAATATTTTACAATGTTGTAGTTAATCGTAATCATACTGTAAAGTCTTTTCAAATTTCTAAAGCCTAACAAAAAGAGATTATATATTTTTAATGAAAAAATAACTGGAATAATGCAATTCTTTTTTTTATTTCCTTTACTAAGTTATATGCGCGCAGTTTATGCTGCGGGTCCCTCATCGCATATGAACCAGTTAGACGACTACGTTCCGCACCCTCTTGTCTCATTACAATTGTTTTGCCACTCATTTATTATGGAATAAATAGGCGATAATGAGAAACGCAGTCCCACTTGACTCCACAACTATTGTATTAATTGAATGCAGTCCTAAAGACATATAATCAACAAAAACGAAAATTCACAGTTGTTACTTTTCTATGGTGGAACAAGAGTAGACTATACTCGTAGTCTCCCTAATCTTGAATATTATTGATTACAGAATTGTTGACCACTACTAGTAGTAGTAAATTACTAGATTAATTACCTACTAATCCGTACTTTCAAATAGTTTTGGCAGAGATGCTAAATTATGACGTCATTACTCGATAATTAAAAATTTAAACGGCGTGATAAAATGCAACTCTTTTTGTCTATGTTTGTAAATTGTGTACTTTAAAGTTAAAAGTATAGAGGAGGAATATTGTAATTAATTAACTTACCTTTGGAGCACAACAGCTTTTTTTTGAGTTGCAATCTACACTAATATTATAAAGAGGAAAGATGTGTATTTTTGTATGTATTGAAATAACTCAAAAACTACTGGGCCTATTTCAAAAATTCATTCGCCATTAAAAAGTTTCGTTATCAGTGAGTAACATAGTTTTTTTTTAATTTCACGCGGTTCACCCGCGTGAAATTAAGTTGTGAGCAACAATTACTAACTAATAGATTCAATTTTAAGATTAGAACGTTTACAACCTCAATGTTTTAAGTATTTTTAAACTTCTAATGTCGAAGTTAGATCATTGAATCTCTATAAAGTTTCGACATAAAATTCCACAAGCGACTGTTTTACGATATTTGTTTAATAGTGAAATATATTTGAGGGTCATTGAACGAACTCTGGTTTCAGTAAAGTATTTTGTTTACATCATACTAATATTATAAATGTGAAAGTTTAGACGGATGGATGTTTGTTAGAGTTTGTAGCTTAAACGCCTGAACGGATTTCAATGAAATTTGGTATAGATGTAGAGGATAGTCTGGAACAACACATAGGCTACTCACTTTTGTTTTCTTTAATTACACTCGGACAGAATCGTGGGCGAAAGCTAGTATAGAATATTTGTTAACAAAATGATGCTGTTTTGTTTTTTGCATCATGCCATACGTTTTTATTAAGGGGCACCAACTTTAAATGACTTTAGTCAACCACGCTGGCCTAGTACGGGTAAGTTAACTTCAAACTGTATCTACGAATTTCCTTGTAGATAGGTGCAGTTTGCATTACGATTACATACAATTAAGTGCACTATATACGGCCAATTCTGACAGTTTTAACACACAGCTTAAGCCCGCTATAGAGCGTTCTTTATATTGAAGATTTGCAACTAAACTAGAGTGGGATAAACTGTAACGTTTGATAGAGAGTCGTTGGAATCCCGCTTGACAGGCACCGGCTTTCGAATATCGCGTGAAGATATTTCTGTGTGGTTATTGTTAACCAGTTTATGGCATATGAACTTCTTGTTCAAGTAGCAACTGTCTATACAAATAAATGACGAACATTTATCTGGATATAGCGAAAAGTTTATTTTTAAAATACCTTTTGACCTTTTATTGAAAATAAAAAAATGTCATCCATAAAACATGAAAAAGTGTAGAATACTTTTTCAGTAGTTGAATTAATTCATGACATGGAAATAAATTTCGTACCCTCTTAGTATCGAATAAGGTACAGCAAACGGTACAGCGGACGAAAAAAAATGTTGCTACAAGTTTTTAACCTTATTATACCATTGGGTAGGAAATAGACGTCCTTGTATTATGACAAATACATGATATTTGTAAGCTTACAATTGTATTACAACACAAAAATAATTAAACGACTAAATATACTGCAACTGTAAACTTATTGGACAGATTTATGTCTGAAGTATGCAGAGAAAATTCCGAAGGCCAGTCGATAAAGCAGCGGGGTGTCCGTCCAGGTAAGACTGATGAAACATGCTGTATAAACGTAAAAACCTATTAGACGTCTCAGTGTAAAGAACCAGAGAAACTAAAAAGAACAGACACTCCAGATATCGCTTCAGTATCAAACGTGACTTCTAGGAATGGGACAAGAAGATATGATTTCCAATAACTCATGTCCTTAAAAATATATATGCATATAATTATTAATTACATACATACACACAGCAAAATTTACTGTATTAGACGTATATCTTTTTCTATTGTTAATCTAAAAACAACACAAAGTTCATTAATCCCTGTGGATTTCACCACTAAGCTAGTATCCAAGTACCGTTGACATTTTCCAGTACCTCCGTCAGTCTTTTGTCAGCTTAATTAGCTAACAACGGCAGTAATTAACGACTACATCCATCAAAGAGAACTTAGTCGCAGTTGATTTCTTTACAACACAAACTTATATCTCCGATAAATTTACATAGAGAAAGCTTTCGTTATTAATTACTGTTTCACTTTAATTATAGGTATTTAAATGTAAAAAATATAAAGTGCTATGACAAGCGAATAGATCGAAATGTGATCAACAAAGAAAACATCGTAACTTTACAAATAAAGAAATTTGAGTCAAACGTTTTGTTCTCAAAATATTCAAATACACAAACGTTTTCAAAAGAATATTTCGCGTTGTACAAGTAAATAAGCCTATTAAGTCATCTCCCCTGCCTTATCCTACTCCCGTAGGGTCGGCGCACCGGGTATTCGTCCTCCAAATAACTCTATCATCCGTCATCTCAGTCATCACTCCCTTCTTGATCATGTTACCTTTCACGCAATCCATCCAACTCTTTCTACGTCCACATATAATCGAGTAAGTGTTGAAGTATTTTGAAAATGGAAAGTCTTACAGGATTCGTATGAGGCGAGCTTTCGCTGCAACTGGACCATTGACCTAAAGTATAGAATTACAGTATAAGAACTTACAGCTAAATTATCGGTAGACATTTCCTTCACGCAGTTTATTTTATACTAGCTGTTGCTAGCGATTTGGCCTACGTGAAATTAGAAAAGAAAAAAACATAGCTTTTTAATGGTGAAAGAATTGTAATCGGCCAGGGGTTTTTGAGTGATTTCATTACATACAAAAATACAAATCTTTCCTCTTTATAATATTAGTATAGAAGTATGCGAGTTTTTATAAGCACAGTCTTTGCTTTTTATATGATGAATATTGTTTTACTAAATTTAACAATTATTAAACGAAAAAAGGTAGAAAGTTAAAGTATGAGTTATCATAAAACTTATTGTTAGAATTAAACTGAATTACTATCAGAATAAAAGCTAAAAAAAAAAAAACCTTAGAAGTTAAGTTTTTTTTTGTGTATCGTGATTTACTTATCTTTGTTTAATAAATGAAGTTACCCATATGATAGCTTTAAAAGCTTTTCTAAGTAAAAGTAACAGCAAATGTTTAGAAAACGTGTCTTCTCAGTGATAATCTAAAATTAAGTTTTATAAAAACAAACGAATCATCAAAAAATCTTTAACGAAGTATTCTGACAATCTTACCTATTTCGTACTCCACTTTTTCCTGACAGATTTCACATAGAAAATATTCTTGCACATTTTTCACCTCCAAAGCATTCCTTCCATATCCAGCACTGAATAAAAACCTCAATATACCACACCTCACGAAACAACCATAGTTTCACTTTAACCAACACAAGCACGAAGCCTTACTTTTGTAACTTAACCAGAATTTACACGTCGATACCGATGTATGACAAAGTACATGGTAACAGTGACAACTCGCGGCGACCACTTCCAAATAGCTTTTTGTCGATTCAAATTCCAACAACACAACCAAACAACTCCGAGACACTTTTTAATAACACGATTTCGACATTTTGATACACAAATCAATATATTTGACGCGTAAAGTTACAAAAGGGTCGCTATAAAGCGTTTGATGACCCTAAAAGTTGCTTTACAACTGAGACTTGAATGCAAAACGCACAGTTTCTCCTGCGCCCGCGCTCGGTATGCGGCTATGCGTGTGTGAGTGTGCACTTACAAGCCTTATGCACACATACAACGACGCAGGCTGCACGGTTTTTGTCGATGTCCACAGGGCAAGTAACCTTAGTACCGCTGTGTTGTAACTCGAAAAGCTTTAAGTCTAACGTTACTACCTTCATATTGCACAAAGAATAAAAATACAAAGTTGAATATTGATATTTGTGTGTAGACATTGGTTAGAATAATAGAACATGTTTTAATTTTTAACATTAAGTTTATGCATATTGTAAAATAAGTATAAAGTAGAATTTAAAACCCATCGAGATGCTTAATGACTTTAAAAAAAAAATAAAAAAACAAGGGTACAAAATGTTTAAATTTGTTTTCGAGTTACAAAGCTTCGGGATTCGAGCAAAGTTTTTTCTGAAAGCTGCTGGTCGATGTCCCGCTAGCGAGACTCAAACGCTTAGTGCTCTATCCCTTTCTAACAAATTTTCAATCGTACAATGGAACAGGACAGATATATTTTTGTTGACATGTTATGGATTTGCAGAACTTGAAGTGGCTTTACTCAGACATTATTAACGATCAAAATTACGGACGTGTAAGTAAAAACCGACTTATTTAAAATGATGTTTCTACCAAAAGTTCTATAGAAATCTAACGTCCACTTTCCGTCGTTGGATTATCTATGTTACCGTTTCATTTGTTTTAAAGGAATAATGGGTTGATTGGTTAAAGTATGATGCTAGAAACGTATTTATAGCAATTAGAGATATTAATCTTAATATTTTAAACATGTAACTCGATATTCAGACTTCGAATTACAAAAAAACTGTAAAATAAAGCAATAACACATCACTTAAGGTATTTTTACCGCGGATTTCGCTACTAAAAGCCCAATTAAATTAAGTAACATTGAAAAAGGTTTCATTTTAGATTTACCCTAATCAAACATTTAAATAAATACAGAACAATATTTTTTTCGTAGGTTAATTGAAATGCAATGAAGATTCTCATCGTTTTCCAAATAATACCTATTTTTAGAATCTACGAATGTGATAATAGTTACTAATCACAGGCTGAAAGTAAATCCCGCTACATACGATTGGTTCAGCAGTCGAGCAGTTCACTGAAAACTGTCAATTAGAACTGACCATTTGTAGCAGACATTAGGTTTAGAGTATTCATTCATGTGTCAAAAACCACACGATAAGAGACACATAAGTTGTAAATAAAAAAATATTTTTCATTTTAAAAATATGGACCAACATTCAACGAAATATCAGGCATTGTAAACCAAGTGCGATCATTTTGAAGTAGTCGAGTTATATAATTGTGACATCCGAGCAGTATAAGCTTGTCCCACAGAAATACAGTAATTTACTAAACTGATGTTTTAAATAAAAACACTTGCGTAACAATAAAAATAATTGTCAAATATCTTTTATTTGGAATATTAAAACACGACGCCGAGACATCGAAGCATGCTCCAGTAATGTATTCAAATATTTTTATTACAAACCAGTTACTTATAAAATTGAATGATTTTATTTTTAAAACTAATGCAAGAAATATTTCTCAATCAAACATTTAGAATTTTACAACACCATTTACATATTTTTCTGCAATTTTGTAATAACATAAAAAGTAACGTGCATCTTGTTAAAACATTCGATGAATAATAAAGTAAAGTATGGGACATTCCTCAAATCAGTCCATCTCTTTCTTTAAGATATAAATCGTATTGTAAGAAAGGGATAGCGTTATCGAAGGAAGTACGCTCTTATCGTTCATTCCAGGAATAACTTTCCCATAGACTGTGATGGTAGATGGGTTATATGTTCGGAATGCAAAAAGTAAGGCGAACTAATGCCTCACTTTGTGGTTTTGTCATTAGCTTGTTTTTCTAACCATTGGTGGAACTGTTCTGCTTAATACGAAAATCACTGAACAGTATTCATGATTGATTAAATAGAAACATTATTTTGAACCCCTCATTTCTATATTTAAAAAGACTTAAGAGATATGGATTTTTGTTTATCCTGATTTCAACAAATGTTGCCTTTTTTATATTTATATGGTATGACTCATGCATGCATTGCGGCTCAAAGTATAACCAGGAGTGAGATTGCAGCTCCACTCCCCCTGGTAAAAACTCCAAAACAATCAAAAAGTATATAAACTACTTTGAATGTAATCGGAGGGCAGATATCATATCATTGGTAGCTGCCTCACAGTCCTAAATCTAGTCTAGATAAACAACTGGCGACGCCCGTAGCTGTAAGGCTAAACTTCTTAAAGCATTCGATTTGACATGATCATAATCTCCTTAACCAATACTATAATTTATTTGGTATTCATCCTTTCGACGCTACCAAAACATAGTTTTGTTAATGAAATATCAAACTAACAAACAAGCTACAAGCAGTTCATTTTTAAAACGAATCGACCTTTTGTGTGTCCACATTCTGAATTTGTGTAGAGAATATTGTAAAGTTTGATTACAAAATAAAAGTAAAGTATTCACGAAATGTTATCTCCTATTGGACGTTGAGTTTTTGAATTAAAAATATCCCCTGATTTCAATTTAATTGCCCAACGAAATCCTGTAAGCGAAAGCAAACAAAACCCATAATTCAAACGGCCCTAATCGCCATTTTTATTTCGAACTAAACGTGATCGGGTTTTAAAAGTTATCGGCCACTTACGAAAGTGGCGCGAATCACCATAAAAATCGCAAACAACTCTGTCCCAAGAAACATCCGCCAACGTTCCAGCCGTGTTACTCATTACGATCCAATGTAGCGACGAGACGGGCACGATACGAACCGCTTACGGATACCGATAAACCGAAATTCCAACTAAAACGTTTGATTTTTCACCGATTGAATGTAAATTTTGCCAATTTCTAATTTTAGTCCCTTTACCTTTCCACCCTTTTCTTAAGAGGAAAGGATGGGAAGGAAAAGTGAATTTGACAGTGAAGGAGACGCATAGGAAAGGGAGATATAGACTCTGTCCTCTTCCGTCGATTTAAGGTAGCCTACGCATCAGCAATTGCGGATGTATGGTATAAGGGCAGCGGTTACTTTCCATTTTGGTGGAATCAGGTGGCCGCAAGACGAAACATACACTATCATATTATTGGTAATGTCAAAAGATTTTGTAAAATCTGTTCAGTAGTTTCGCAGCCTATTCATTACAAACAATTAAATCTTTCTTCTTTATGATACTATACTACTAGCTTTTGCCTGCGACTCCGTCCGCGTGGAATAAAAAAAACAAAAGAAAGCAGCCTATGCGTTCTACCAGACTATCGTCTACATCTACGAGTATGCAAAACATACAAACATCCATCTAAACTTTCGCATTTATAATGTTAGTATGATAGATAAAGGCGCTCTCGTAGTGACTAATTAAGGACACTGAGCTTTGCAAGCTTAATTATTATTTATTTATTATTTTTATTAATAAAGCAATAGCTACTATATTTGATATTTTTAGTTAACATTGATTTCGTATGGTTGTAAAGAGCCGTATCGGCGAGCATGTGACGTATATCGGCGCGCCAAGAGCCAGGATCCAATCATTAACCTAATTAAAACATTCCCCCTGCCCCGATTATCAAGCGGCATCCGATACGACATAACTCCGCGCCGCAACGAGATAAACCGCCAGATAGATAAGTTTAATTTAAATTAGTTATTGAGATGTTATCAGCGACTTGTCTATTTGTTCATATATGCTGGTATTCAATGAGGTTTTGTCGACGAGTTTGTAAGCTTCTAATTAAATGTCGGTTTTGAAATCGTTGTCGCAAACGTGATAATAATCACGTTTTATAGAAAAATAGTCATTGTGAAATTTACATACAATTAATCGAAAAGTAAAGGCATTTAAGTCACCCATTATATTGTCAATTTCCTCACAAAACTTGTACATACTTTACATATGTCTTAGGATCTGAATGCAAATTTACCGCTTACTTCTTGGTGGATGTTTGTTAGAGTTTGTAGCCTAAACTGCTTAGTGGATCTCACGGAAATTTGGCATAGATGTAGAGGATATTCTGGAAAATTACATAGGCGACTCACTTTTGTTTTTTATTCATTCCACGTGGATGGAGTCGCGGAAGGAAACAAGTCTAAATACTTAACATTGTATCTACTTAATAGTTAGTCTCGATGCGCCACTTCAGTTAGTTTTATTACTACTTTACTTTCAACTAAAACATTGTACAAACAGGAAAACTGGTAATTAATGTTACACAACTATTGTTTCTGTTAAGAACTCAACCGCAACGGTCACAGTAACTAATTACAATTATTAAGCCGTGCGATCGCAGACAATGTTAACTTCCTGCTTAACTAAGCGTTTATTTAACTAGTTAATATTTACTTAACAGATGGACTTGTAAAAGTCCTTAGGTGTCCTGATGTAAAAGCAATTAGGTGGATTAAGGATTATTCATATGATCCCATGTTCAGCTGTAGGTCGACATATTGGTTTACCGAATGTGTACTTCAAGGTGTTCTATTACTCCACTCATCTAAGTTTAAATATACTTTATGTTTCTTTTAATGAAGATTTTAAAGACTACATATATATACATACATAAGGGGCTTACTTTGTCGCTATTTAATCGCTGAGTATGGCACTAAAACTCAACTGAATTTAATGACAGTACAACTAAAAAACTTACTATTTTAGTAGAAATTAAAAAAGTGAAAATGATTTAAGTTCGTGGTCAAATTAAGCCATAAATTTAATGTTAATTTACTGTTTGGAGAGGTTACGCGCGCGTTGAACTCTAATGTACGGCGGGACAACTAACTACTTTTCCCACGTAACACAAAGGACTTTTATAACTTAATCTATATACAATGTGATATTTTTGTACAACCTAATTATGCTGTATACAAGATAATGCTATACATGATATACAAAAAAAAATATTTCTAATTCATAGATAAATTTGATAAAACAATGTGACAATTTTATATTATAGATGTAGATATTTGCTGT